TATACATATTAAAGATCAAGTTTTTTAGCATTATAAAACAAATTTTATATTGTTTAAAATCTTTATCACATTTTTACATATTTTAAATACATTACATTGTATGATAAAAATTACAAGTCATCATATGTCAATATCTTTTTGATAATTGCACATTTAAAATATAGTATACTATATAATTTAAATAAATTTAATTTATCAAACTGACTTTTATAAAAAATATATCCAAACATAAATTTTGTTATAACGACTGACTTTCACTAAATTAACTTTTGCTAAATAAATTTTTAGCAAGTAGATTTTTAATAAATTGAAAACTAAATACATATTAATTCTTCCAAATCATCACATAATTTAATATTTATTATATTGAATTTTAAATGTTTACTTCAGTTTGCAACCTATTCTCGTTTGTAACCATATGGATTGATTTTTATAAATTATTTTTTAAAAAATTTATCCAAAGCTTAGCTACTTCAATGCGGAATGTGGATATTACGTAACCGCTAAGTTCACTTGAAACTTGAAAGTTTCTAAAGCCCTAGCGATCGCACTTGTTCAGTCGTTCTCCCGCGCTCTCTAAACTTGGGGTATATTTTGGAGGAGAGAGAAATATTCAGCCATGTCCTGACTAAATTGCCCACACCATTTTTATAATATTCCATTTCTACCCATCTCACTTAAACCCTTTTTATCCTTGGGCCGTTTCTTCACCCACTCGACCTCTCTGCTCGCCTCTGCTTTGCCGCCTCTCCACCGTCAGTCGCCGCAGCCGCCTTCTTCTGCACCTCCAGCCGTAGTCGCCGCCGCTATCCTCACCACAGGTATTTTGTTTATTTTGGAGATCTGTTTCTCTACTTATTCTGGAATCCATTCTTTATTTGTTGATTCTTCAGGAAGAAGGCAACATGTCGATGTCTAAGAGTTCGAAGATGCTTCAATACATAAACTACCGTATGCGAGTCACCATTCAAGATGGCCGTCAGCTTGTGGGTAAGTTCATGGCATTCGATCGCCACATGAACCTCGTTATCGGCGATTGCGAAGAGTTCCGCAAGCTACCCCCTGCCAAGGGCAAGAAGACCAATGAAGAGCGCGAGGATCGTCGTACCCTAGGCCTTGTTCTTCTCCGTGGCGAAGAGGTCATCTCCATGACCGTTGAGGGCCCACCGCCCCCTGAGGAGTCCCGAGCTAAGGCTGTCAATGCGGCCGCTTTAGCCGGCCCTGGTATCGGCCGCGCCGCTGGTAGAGGGGTTCCCACTGCTCCTATTGTTCAGGCTCAGCCTGGTCTTGCCGGCCCCGTTCGCGGCGTTGGTGGTCCTGCTCCTGGCATGATGCAGCCTCAGATCTCGCGTCCGCCACAGCTCTCTGCTCCACCGGTATCGTATCCAGCTGGGCCACCCGTGATGCGGCCGCCTGGGCAAATGCCGGGGTATCCTGGGCAGGCTCCGCCTCCAATGGCGAGAGGTCCCCCTCCGCCAATGCCACCTGGGCAGTTTGCTGCTCGGCCGGGTGGTCCGCCACAGCCATTCCAAGTGCCTCCGCCTCAGTTTGGACAGAGACCTATGGGACCACCCCCTCCTGGACAGATGGTCAGAGGACCGCCTGCTCCGCCTCGGCCTGGAATGCCAGCTCCACCTCCTCCTCGACCTGGGATGCCCCCTCCGCCTGGCGGTGCTGTTCCTGTATATGGACCACCTCGCCCAGGCATGCCTCCTCCGCCAAACCCTCAGAATCCGCAACAGTAAGAGTTCAAGTAGGTCAGTTTCTGTTTTCGTCTCTTTGCTCTATGGTTCGTTATTGTTATGATTTTCTTAAACCTTAAGAATTTGGGCTGTCAGGAGACTTCATACGTATGTGGCTTCCAGATTTCTGGCATTTATTCTTGTTTAGAAAATAATAATGTCATATATAAAGGCTTTTTCGCGAGTTTATGATCGAAGATGGCAGCTTGTATTGTACATTTAAGTGCAATTTCTTCTACCAAGACAATATTGCTAGGGCTAAAATAATTTAAAGAATGTCCATCTCATCGTAATTGAAGAACTCTAAAGTCAGTCTTACCGAAGTCAAATTTTCAAACTTCGCCATTTTCTCGTGTATTTGTACGTATAGTCCAGGTTTAGCCCAATGCCAAGGAGTAGTTTATCTATCTAGTTGCCACCATCCTCGTGCAAAATTTTTTTTTCAAATGCTTTGTATAGTTGCTCATTGTGCGACATTGCATGACAGTTACACAAATAATACTGAAAATTTGTGTAGTAGCTAGCTAAATTGTGTCAACGAGAAGATGCGTTTCAAATTTTATGTTTCTATAATTTTGTTCAGCATAGCCAATGACATGATCAATCGTACTATCACACAGTAGTGTTTGACCCTCAGTAGTTTTCTGGACTTATGATCTTAAAGGCCCTAGCAACTAAGCGATTGCACCTTGCATTAGTCCTATTCAAAGTAATACTTAGTTGAGTTAGGTTCCTTTTGCAACTTAGTCGAGGTTTTGGAAAGTTAAGCTGTAGCCGTTTCATCTTCTACAGAATTTTCATGGCTTATAGAAGTTGCAAATGTTCACTTGATGCCCACTAGTGTTCATCTTGTTGTATTTTATTAACTGAATGATGCCTTTCACGACTTCAGCAGTGATTTCTCCTTCCAGAGACTACATGTGCTCTGTATTAATGCCTTCATAAATTCTAGAGATATGGAGCTCCATTTTGCATACTTATAATGAAGATAATTGTGTTAACGCAAATATAATCATTGTAGGTATTCTTTAAAATGAAGATGATGGTGGTAGAAAATTTAATTAAGATGCTATTCAATCAAGCATTGCAAAGTAAACATTTAATACCCCAATTTCCCCCCTGAAAAATGGAGTCTCTACAAGTAAAAAATGCTCGGTCATGATATTGTCAGTGAAGAGTCTTAGGTAAAATTACAGCGTTTGGTCTGTCATCCATGGTTGATAAATTTTCACCCTGATATTCTGAGTAATTCCAATCACTTGTACTTATTTGCTGGTAGGATTGCTTCTTTCGATTTATTTATGCTAGGAACTGTTCATAATTATAAAATTCTAATTCCAACTTAGTGTTAAAAGAGGATGGGGAAATATGATCTGATTTCATCTTTATTTTCTAGAATAATCAAAATATCCACTTTATTGAGGTTGAGAGTCAGAGATTCATAGCTGGTTGGGGGAAAAGAAAGAGGGACAAGAAAATTCAATTATTTCTGTCTTTGGTTTTTCTAACTAACATGTCTCTGCCCCATTAACATCCCTGGGGATGTTCCTAATCCATTTGGATTGAGATAACTTAGGTTCATAATAATATTTTGCTTGCACTCTCTTAAGTAGTGTTTGGGAGTTTTTAAGGGATGAAATGGAATGAAGTGTGATGGCTAAAAGTATTATACCATTGTTTGCGAGAAATTTTTAAAAGGAAATGTAATGGATTGAAGTGGCCTTCCATGCCATCCTAAACCCATTTTTTCTGGCCCCCCAATTTTGGGGTCGAGGTTGGAATGGCATGACATAATTAACATTATTACAAAATGACCCTCATTTTTCTCACCCCTTCTCACTCTTTCATTTCTCCTGTCGTAAAGTTGAAAAACATAATTATATCTAGTTTAAATTTATTAATTTTATAATTATTCTTAAATGATGATCAATAAAATCATTTATTTCTTTAATAGAACTCTCAAACAATGGAATGTTTTGTTCCGTTCCACTCTTTCCCACTCCACCCTTAGTCCATTTCACCAATGACCATTCTTTTCCATTTCATCTTGTACTCTCAACATCACTTAAGTCCTATAGACATCTAACTAGGAATAATTTACAGCCTGTATGTTTCATGTCCAAAGCTTAAAATTTTCTTGTTGCACAGGATGTATACATAATTAAATTAAGCTTATACTCTTTTGACCTTCATTTTACTTAAGACTCTTTATAGGTTTGAGATTTTTGGGTCGTTCACTTGTTGGGGGTCCTTTTTTATTTTTTGATTAATTTCATAATGTACTCAAAGGGAAGAGCAATGACAAAAAAAAAATGCTATGTTTGTAAGATCGCCTCTTTTAATTTTAGCTTAGGCATTACCCGAGAGAGTGTTTCCTAAATCTGACATACCCTGCGTCTAAATTAACTCGCGATAAATATCCCTTGGATGTAACGTTAGAATTCAACATAAGGGATTTCAGTGTTATCCTCAAAGCTATGTAAATTTTTGCACCCAATTAACAAATAACTTTAGTGAGGACCTTTAATTTACCCTTCAGTCAACTTTTGATTTTGCTGCTGAAATGTTTTATTTAATCATTTTCTTTAATTGCTCTCATCCATACTTGTCGTTTCACGTTAATTGTCATCACATGTATTTATTATCTGTACTGATTAGAAGGCTTCAAATCATCCATCGTTGCAGGTCTTTTGGCTGGTGCTCTGGGGAATCTGGACTTTGAATTTCTTGTGGTCACTTCAAATCTAGCTTTTATATGTGCAGCAATTGTTTCTTGGACATGTCATGTTAGGGTTTGTTGAGATGAGAACGTATTATGTTAAAAATATTATCACCATTTGAGAAGAAAACAAATGTGTAAATGCAATCTGAGCAATAGACATACTAGATGAAGATGACATTGTAGATTGTGAGAAATTTTTGCCAGATTGCGAAAAAAGAAAAATGACTGATTTGGAAAATGTAGGACCGGACTGGAAACCTATAACCATGACTTTGGCGTTGTTTTCTTGTGTAGTGTTTTTGTTACTTAATTATATTATTTGAGAAGGCATTAACAGATAATTGTAGTATGGCCATAGTTGATGTTATAAATCCAACAATTATCTAGCATCGATAATCTTAATGAACTAACTTCCGAACCAGATAAAATATCAGATTGTAGTAATATGCACCGGGGTAGATTGTTTTTAATAACGCGATAGAGAAGTATAGTTAGAAAATTAACTATGAATTGTAAGGTATTTTTAAATAAGTTGTACTCTTTTTCATGTTTATTTTTATTTAATAGTGTTTTAATTAAACAGTCTTCTTAATTATTTTAAAAAACTTTATTAATTATACCGTGTAGTGTTTAAAATATCTTATATTTTAAATATAACATGTTCAAAAAAAAAAAAGTCTTGTAATGCTGAATAGAAGCATAACGCAAGATCACAAGACATATGAGGTGTAAATTCAAATTTCTGAAAACTCCATTAAAAATGGATTCCAAAATGGTACAGGACCGACCCAGGAAGACCTGGGTGGTTGAATGCACAACCATGTGAACAAACTCACTGCCTCTAATAATACCAAAGGAGAATGACAGGTAAATCTTACGAAGAGTAATTAATTTAAATTAGATTTTAATTAATTTTAAAATGTCAAACTTTAAAAATTTATAAATTCAGCTTTTAATTTTACAATTTCATTGCAATGAATTTATAACTTATTATTCTAATTTAATAGAAAAAATAAATATTTATTTTTCAACCATGTTAAAATTTAAAAAAAATTGTAAATTCATCATAATAAAATTATAAAATTAAGACTCAAGCTTGCAAATTCTGGAGTTTAGCACTTTGAAATTGATTAGAACTTAATTTGAATTAATTAATTATTTTGAGGCCTATCTATTATTTTTTCTAATAACAATAAAGTTGAGTCTAGTAGAAGGGGCTAGTTTTTTACAACATAACAAACTAATGTTTAAATTTTTGCTAGGAAAGATGCTTATATTTGATGCTTGACAGTATTTCAAATATGATTGTTTTTAATAAAAAGATACATATAAGGGGAAAAAAACTTCCTCTAATAATTAACACAAACCATTACTCATAATTTAACAATTTGAATTAGACAGAGACATGGTCATGGTTATACTCGTTTGGTGCCTTAAACTACAATATAAAGGCATATGCATGTTCTCCGATTTGAAAGCATTCAAAAGCAACATAGTGGTGAGACTATTCATACACGTCATTGTTGCTAGGTTTAAATAACTAATTTAACTTCATGATATTGCTTCTCTGAGATGATAGAGAGTTACTCCATCCCTTTTGTTATATTTGTCTTTCGAGAGAGAATTGTTTTAGACACATTAATTGAGAGGCAGATTTGGTAAAATATACTATATTTTTACATATTTATTGCATTTTTTTAATCGATATACAACAACGTCAATAGATAAATATAACAAAATGGAAGAAAATCTAGGATACTGTCTTTAGTGTGTTTGTGTTTAAGTTTTTACCGAGATACAAACGTACGTATATCAAGACAACAAAATGATGAAAAGAAACCTTTGAATTTTGGATGTATTGCTCAGAAAATAACATGCAATTTTTTTTTCTTTTCCGTAACAAAAAAAATAAGATGTTTTGTTTGCAAGAAGAAAGATAAACCATCCTTTTCCTGGATAGATTGACTTGACCCAACATCTCATGTAACACAGTAATAATGTCATAAGAGATGTTTTATAATATTTAAAAAATATTAAATCTCAAGCTTTTCAAGGAGATGGCAAGTGTAAAAAGTATTTTGACTTCAAGTTTTCAAAGAGTTCAATAATTTTAAAATATTAATAAAATTTAATAACTATAATCAAAATACTGGACTTAAGTCCAAATCCTCCCTTTTTCAAAGGTTACAGTTTGTGCTGGGTGCTAATTCTACCTATCATTGTCAGCACTTTGGAACAAAGTTGAGATTGGATTATTTGTATTTATAATTTATGACACGCAATTCATAATATTCACACATCATTGGCAAGTTCATCTACAATTTTTTTTTTTAAAAAAGCATGATAAATTTGTGAGAATGTGAGATATATTTAAGGCATTATGTCACGGATGATATCTCCGTGACCGTGTAGAGACCAAGATAATGAACGATTCACTGGTTAGCCTCCCACAATATGAGTAAAGGGGGCAACATTGACATTGGGGATGTTTTGCCTCAGTCTTCGGACTGAGTGCACAACTGGTCGGGGGCTAGTGCCGCCTCCCTGATGAGCCCATGGCAGGGCAAAACCAGTGAGATCCGTATGTGGTAAAGCTTGTCCTAAAGATTATGGGGTCCTCCAGGACGCCGCACAGGCGCCGTATGCTGCGCCAGACTCCCAGTCCGTGACAATTAGTCTCATTTAAAGGCATGAAATAAACAACTTAATATAGGTACACATATAACGATCATGTGAAGAACCAGCATCTACCAATGTTGGTATATACTTCAAACCAAATCATTGCATTATAAGCAAAATTTTACTTACAAATCTGGCAATTTGGGCACCAAGCCGCTTATGAAAAGACTCCCTATATAGAAAACAACTAAAAACCCAACCCAAGAAGCGTAGCTAAATTATTAAGAGGAGAAAAAAAAAAAAACTATTTCTAGGCAAAACTATTCTGTGTTTTTCTTAGGGGTTTTGGTAGAGACAAAAGTATCTCCTAAACACACCGAAGAGACACACACATATATATACTTGAGTGGGGTCATCTGAACTCACTGAATATGGACAATTGGACATGTAATCCTAGGACTATGATTGTAGCTACTCTCCTTCACAGAGAAGACGAAGAGATCCACCAATCCAATAGAGGAGAAACTAAGTTGAAACCACTAAAACCTCCAAGCCCTGAACTTCTTTGCAATGACAGGTCGAACATCGTCCACATCGACGAGCGTCTCGAGAAATGGAAGCAAGGACATCAGACAAGAATCAGAAGAGTCGTCAAACCAACTTTCAATTGGAACTCCATTATCAGGCTGCAACCTGAATACCTAAAAACATGAAGACAGACACAGATTTTCAGTATCTTACGCCAATTATCAAAGCAACAGTGACCAATGATGTATGACATCTGGTCAATATTTCACAACACATGTCTGGATAAAGCTGTAATTACCAATTATAACAAAAGAAATACCCAATAGAATAATAAAATTTAAAAAAATTAATTATTTAATCTCCATAGTTTTAATGCAGTTGTATGAACTTTGACTTACTGAAATTCATTTTTTATAATTTTAATTTAATTGTAACTCAATCCCTAATGTTTGACTTGATATAACTTAGTCTCTATAATTTTAGGAATTTAAAATAGCAGTTCCTATATTTTAGAAAATAAAATTATAAAAAAATTAAACTTTAAAAGTTTTTTTTAGTAATTTAAAGTATTAGTCCTTAAATTTCAAAATAAATTTAATCTTTTTAATTGTATCTTCTAAAATAAATTGACCAATGTTTTACATGATTAAAAAAGATTGAGTTACACTAAGTTAAAGTTTAAAAATCGAATTACAACCAACTCAAAATTAAAAAGACCGAATTACAACTAGTCAAAGTTTACACAACTGAGTCAAATCTCCAATAACCAAATGATTATTTTTCCCTAAAATAAAAAATAATAATAAACTCAGAATATTTTTGCCCAAGCAAAGAATCTAGAGGAGCTTCATGAATGTGGAAAAAGATTAGATTTGCCAGTGAATTTATGCTAGACAAAGTATTTTGTTTTGGTAAATGTAATGCTAGATTACAGCCAGGATTTATTGGAGTCAAAAAAGTAATTGCATATGTGATATATTAGGAGAGAATAAGAAGAAAATAAGGGATATATGCAACGAAGCTAAATGAACTCCACATATAACCATACTAATTTATATTAATTTTGACAAAATGTATGGCTTCATAACATGGGATCCAATAAGGCCAGCTGACGTACCATGCTATAGTATCTGACATTAGAATATCTTTTTATAAAATAAATTAATAATTAATATTAACAAATATACTAAAAAGCATGAAAAGGCTTTAACAGAATTGAGATGAGGAAGAAATGCACCTGAGGAGAATTGTCGACTATAAATACTTTTGCCAGGTCAATGCCGAGAACTGTCAAATCTTTAGTGTACACCTCATCTAATAAGATGCATGAATCCCGGTATCTTCTATCAGAGAAAAATTTTCTATCTGGATCGAGAACATCCAGAAGCTTTTCTGCATAACACCTTTGACTAGCCGTAAAAATGATGACTTCAAAAATCTCTGACACTCTTTCCAAAAATACCTCAAGGAAGGGCCTTTTCCGTACATATATAGTTTGGTCCTTGTTATCATTATCATTGAACTGGATTGTGAAGTCAACGCCATAACATGGCTCCCATGTAGAATGGACTAGTGTTTCTATTGAACCAACAAAATATAGAAGTAACAAGTTATTTAAGATATACATATATACATATCAAAACGTCAAAAGAATTTGTTCACGTAACAAAAAACACGTGTTCAACTTTTATGCTAATGCCAATTCTAACTCAGATGAGAAAACATATACTATGCTGGTAATTTACAAAAGCAATCTTATAATAAAGAGGCCTTCCATATTTAAGGAAGAAGCAAGAATAATGCAAATCAAAAGGCAACTTTATAAAGCTTAGACAGTTAAATAAACTCAAGTGGCAATTCTACTATAAAATGTAAAAACTACTGTGGAGAAAAAAATTATCTGCATCACCAAATATGATCCAAAGCCTAAACATGCATCAGAGTGAGCAGTAATATTGATTTTTTATTGTAATGAAGATCATAAATCATGATACAAAAAAGACAACAAAGTAACGGCTCTGGAAAAATTTTCACCCAACCATCGAATGTGATTGAACTAATATGATTAATTTTGACTAAACTAAGATGAAGATCGAAGAGGATTTACCATCCAAATCAAGAACAAGGGTATGCTTCTTTTTGCTTGTTTCCTTGCTTACCAGTGCAGGCAATGAATAAGATTCATCTGACAGGTCAAAAAAACTTTTAATAAAGGACTCTGGATCAGAATAATCGACTTCATTGGAATCAATCTGACAGCGGCTGGCTTCAAATTCTTCATTGGATTTAGTCTGATGGCACATGTAGTGAAACCATGTATTATCAGACATCTGCTGAGTCTCTTCACAAGAAGCCCCATAATGGGAATCTGTTGCCTCCATTGTTTTCTCAAGGGAGGGAAAAAGCATAAATCCGTCTGTGGCGTCATATATCAAATTTGTCCCAGAAAATTCATGATCAGAAAAGATATTGTAATTAACGTTATTGCCAAATAAACCTATCCTGTCAGTAGGAATTTCACTGAAACACAGATCATTTATATAGGGGTCTAAGGCATCTAAGACCCCAGGTGTTTGGCAATCAAAGGAGCTATTGTCATCTGCTAGAGGCGCCACAATGGTTTGCTCTCTAACTACTGCAATATGAGGCCAAAGTAGGCACACTCGTTACAAATAGAAATGCAATACAATAAATCATAAGTGAAATTATATGAAGCAATATGGTTTAAGGTCAGTAGTCAGCACCTGCATCAAATGGGTTGCAGTGGACGTCAGTGGATCCAGTTGAAGGAGAAGACATCGTTCCCAAGCTGGCAGTATGATGGGAAGGAATCCTGCCACCAAGAAACCATCACAATAAGGACTGCCAAACACAGAATATTCACTTTCACATTTATATAAAAGCAATATACAAGTAGTAGCCACTTCTATTGTAGGAATAAAACAGGTCAAACTTCTTCAATAGAAAACTCCAAGTTTCAAGCAATCAATTGGTACACAAATGAATTTCTCACTAATTTCCCACAAGAAATGGATTTTAATAAGGTGACAGAAAAAGCCTATATCTCCAAACCCATTTTTCTAAAGCAACGCTCAAGTGCTATCGTAGTGAGTAGACACAGATGAACTACAGTTAAACATCATAGTTTTCTCGCTCATACCTGGTCAGAAACCTCAGTTATGCAGAGAAGATCAAGTAACACCACAGGAGAAAGATAGATCACGTAAGTTACACGAACCAAAGCAATTTATATAACTTAATACAAATAAACAACGCAGGAAATTTCTATACACACATGATAAACTAGTCTTAGACTACAACTTGTATTTGAAGGTGCTTATGAAATCATGCCCTAACTTTGATCTAGGTCCAGGGGACCAGCTAACACAGTCAACTATTTACTACTTTCTCACTTTTTCCTTTGATAATAATGTCTGTCTTAACCACGCTCCTCCTTCCAGGAAAATATTAAAATCATGCCCATAAATCATAGTGTGCAATCACTGGTAACAATGTAAAGTTGGTCATTAACTCCACATCATTATCCCATTTAAGTGGACAAAAATACTACAGTTGACTGTCTTGAGGCATGAATGCACATGACTAAATCCTTTCATAAATCAACATGTATAGGCAAATAGGCAAATGTAATGAGATGAGCCTAACCAGTTCTCCTATTGAACCCAAATCTCCATCAGATGACAGACAGATCTGTGCCAAAGTTACGTCTGCATTATCAGATATTTGGTTTCTATCATTTTCATGCTCCTTAAAAGGTATTCCGTCTCTAAATCCTACAATAGAATGTCCAATTGAATGATGAATTGCTCTTTTTTCAGGTAATGCCCATGAAAACATGCAACAATTCCATGGAATCGGTTGCCTTTATTCCATAACGATTTTACGGAAATATTCTTTCAATTGGTAGACATAAGGCACAAAACTCACCAAGCTGGAGAGTTTGGGTTGCCATGTCCAAATCTTTTGGTTGACAAGCTACTTGGACCATGGAGGAAGTCATTTTAGATAATTTATTGGACTATATACTTAGGATAACTTCCATCTCTTGCAGGTGTTTTTTATTTAATTTAAGTGCCAGGACCAAATTCCGGGTTCTGAAAAATGATTAAATTCACTCCATTGTATAACATGGAAGATGCTTCTTGTTTGCATTCAAGTCTATACAGCAACCAAACAAAACAAAAGTACGTACATGCATGAACACAGACACGGACACACATATATATATGTTGCAATTTGGTATAATCTTTTTGCAACATATTTTAAGAAAACATAAAAGTAAGAAAACGTGTTGGCGGATATGTCCATCAGCAAGTTTCATGAAAAAATCTAAAATAGAAACCGCATAAGAAACTCTCCAAACAGAAAGTCAACTAAAGATGATGACCGAGATTTAGTTAACTTCAAAAGATCCCTACGAGAAGCCCATTGAAACCCTTTACAATTTCTATTATTTATCACAATTCACCTGAATATCGTTAATTTGCCAGTTCAGTGAATGTCATCCAGGCTAGTGAGTACTCCCAATTCATGGACACTGAAGAGCGCTCATTCAAGTTCACCACTTACCAGAACTCAGCATTCCGACACAAAAGTATTTGAAATCCCGTGTTAAGTTATTTCTAGGCATATCACGCATACACCAAACTCGATTGCAAAACATATCAAGAACAAATTTAAAGCATGACGCTGTATACCAATCTTGAAGAAAATGATTGCATAAAGATTAAAAAATGGGGGAGAAAAGTATATATTTTAATGATTGAATGCAATTCCTTTTTCGTATTTCATTCATCCAGCCCCTTGTTTGAGGATTTTCTGTTTCTTTGCCATAAGCCCAAGATGCAGACAAGTCACGAAACTCTCTAAATCATAAAGATCAAAGAGGCGATTCAACTTAACCCGCTCAGACCAAAAAGGAAAAAAAATGGACCAGCAAAAACAAAAAACGACAAACTCCGTGTCAGCTCTATTCACCCTACGAGGCTAGGCCACGATTCCCAATTAACAGTAAAAGTGAAAACACACCATGAGAGAATCAAAATCAAATTTAAATCGACAAGAAACCAAAATCCTCTGCGAAATAAAACGGCCTCAACTTTCATAAAAAGTATCGAATTTCGGTAACCTCGAGTATCGAAAACTCAAAAACAGAGGGGGGGAAACAATTCACCGAAGCTATAGCTAGCAGCAACCCAAAAAGGCAGCGCTATTTCGAAAAACCTCATACAGAGAGACTAGGCAGAGAATTTACCAGAATATTCACATACAAGCACAAACTGGAAAAAGAAGAACACTTACCCTGAGCTGGGACGATCCTTGTCTTCCTTTCTCTCTTTCCCACCCAATTCAGCACTTCCTTCACTCTCTCTTCCTCCGGAGGCAGAGAGCCGAGGCAGAGAAGAAAGAAGGCGTCAAAGGATGACTCTGACGAACTTGTGGTCGTATATATATACATGGAATTTGGAAGTTCAAATGAAGCGAAGAGGTTCCACCCCAAAAAAAAAAAAAAAAAGTAGACGAGCTCAAAGATGAAGACGAGCGAACGGCAAAAGATTGATAGTTGATACGAAAATCTAACGGCGGATAGAAGAACACGTAGTGATGGCATGTTACACGTCAGCATCTGTGAAGTCCCGTGTGCGCGGACGCAACTGGCGATGCCAGCAAGAACCAGGAAGGGTCATGTCCCTGGGCTCGGAAAAATCCGAGTTTTTTTCGATTTTGACGGAAGAAATCCACTCACACGCACACACGTGCATATGAAGAATATAAAAACTGGTGACTTGGAGGTGTCTTTTCTGTCTTGTGACTATTACCCTTCCTTTGTTCTTATACCTAGAGGTTTTAAAAGAAAAAATTTTGTTAAAAAATATAATATATTTTTAATTAAATTTTAATTTCTATTAAATATATATAATAAATATAAATTTATTCATCAATATGACACTTTTTTAAAAAAATAATAATTATATTTTAAAAAATTAAAAATATTTTATATTTTTTAAACATCCAACTCTTTAAAAAATATTTTATATTTTTAAATAGAGGAAGTAATCATTTAATCTGTATAGGTTTAATTTAATTACAACTCAATTCTTATAATTTTAACTCAATTATAATTTAATTTTTAAATTTTGATTATTACACCTCAATCTTTATAGTTTTAATCATTTAAAATATTAGTCCATATATTTTTAAGAATAAAATTATGTTAAAATTTAGGACTAATATTTTAAATTACTAAACCATTTTAATCTTATAAAGATTAAATTTTTAAAATATTTTTTATCTTATAATTTTATTTTTAAAATATACGGACTAATATTTTAAATGGTTAAAACTATAAGAACTGAGTTGCAAGAGTTTAAATTTAGGAATTGAGTTACAATTGAATTAACGTTTTAAAGATTGAGTTACAGTTAAATTAAAATTATGAGGATTAAATAATTAATCTGACAGTATAAGTGACTTTGCTAAAGTTTATGTAGTATTAATTATTTTATCGCTAAAGATTATGATTATAATTTGATTTGTTGTCCGAAATTCTTTTTCAAGAAGGTTGTAGTTGAAGATTTATCATCAATGATTATAATTGATATTTACTCTCTTCTAAACAAATTTTAAACTATGCATAGAACTCTTCTTCAAGTCAATCTTTTGGAGGTTGATTACTGCGTCTCAACTTCTACTTCTAACTTTACCTTGACTTCTGTTTAATTTCTTTTTCCTTACTTTTTTTTTTTTGCTTCTTACTACTTGCCTTTAAATAAAAAAAATACTTTATTCAAAATATGCCCTTCTTCTTTTTATGAATATCAAAATTTTATGGATTTTCATCTTTCTCTTAGCTCTTCATCTTTTCCTAAATAAACTACCATGATTTCACCATTCATGAGATTTATTTTCCACACAAATTTTTGGCTTTTATTATCCACTATTCCTCCTAAACTAAAATATAAGACATTTGTAATTAATTTACGGTTCTAAAAAATGTTAGTTGAAACCTTAATTTCTTTAAAAAAATTTATCCTTTTAATTTTACCCTCATTAAATACCTTATATAAGTACTTTGATAATAATAATTAAAATTTCAATGCATCATTTTTTTAAAAAAATTAATAAATGAAGTAAGAATATAATTAAAAAATAATTATAAAATTTATTTAATGTTTTATATTGTATACTAAGTAAAGCTTTTAAAAAATACCTTATATTATAGTTTAGTAGAAATATTTAAAAATGATGAGATTTTATATGACAAGTTGTGTCATCAAGACGTCAAATGCCGAGTTATTCAAATAAAGGAAAGTTTAAGGAAAGAAATCTATATCCAAGAGCCTATTATGTGTGTTTGGAGTCCAATTCACCATATTACAGGTCCAATACACTCACATGCACTTGGAGGAGGAAAATTGGGTTATAGTGTTGTGTATTTGAGCCCAAATGAATTTTTTCACTAGACCATGGAAGCTCAAGAACGTAAATAGTCATCCAAACCCACATTTAGACCGTCCAGAAGAGTCTTTATAAGGCCCAGGTCAATGATAGAGAAGTATTACCAAGGTGAGGCTTAAGTGGAATAAAAGATTCTTAAATGAAGACACATGGCACGATATAAAGAGTCCAAGATTAATTAGTACTCATTTATTTATTTCAATTATGATTGAAATTCATTTGCGTGTTGGGTGTTATTTTTCTAATTTTTCTTGTATTTTACTAGGTATATTTTTATTATATTTTTAAAATTAGTCATTTATTAAGATAAAGATCCACTTGTCATTAAATATGGCAATGCACTCAAAAGTAAATAAATTAGGTATAAATTGAATATTTGACACTTTAAAACTTTTTTTATATGAATGCAACACTGGATTAAATTAGTTGGTTCAACCGATAAACCCTCAATTTTTTTTTTTGTTCAAATCGGCCTGGAGCTGATCCAGTCTAACATGGCCTATCTAAAGTTATTTTGGCTAACTTAATGGATTGGACGAGTTATTTGGGTTGTTTTTTTCTTCCAAACAATTTAGATGTCGTTTTGGATTTTTCTTCTTTTCAAGAAATGCTCACAATGAAAGGGATGGAGTTTTTTTTTTTTTTTTTTGGGAAAAAGAAAAGATATGATAAGAAGATTTGGGAAAAAACCATCGAAGGAGGAACGAGAAAAGGCGAGCAACTAGATATAAAAGCCATGACCTTTTTGGCGTTTTCAACTCGATCTGCAATTTCATCGGCGATTAAGACGATTAGAGGAAGATGAATGTTGAGAGGGTTGGAGAAGCCGACGCCTGGCGTGAAGTAAAAGGAAGAGAAGGAGCTTAATATACTGAGAGCACAATGCCATTAATCCACGTTTCCAAGGCTTTTATTGGGATTGTGATTTAGAAGAAAAAACAAATACTACTCGAAGGCTTGAAATAAAATAAAATATCACTCAACTAAATTAAATAATATTTAAAATATTATTATTAACATTAATTATTCAGATTCCTTTCCCATGAATCTAGGATTCATAGTAACTTTTATTATATGCTTTTCCATCTTGGGTATGTAATCTAAATCTGGAATCCTAATATTTTTTTATTTTCAATTATATTTTGATATATGATTTTTTAAATGAATATCATATCATTTTATTATAACTAATCTAACTTTGATTTGACCGCCGATTTAACTTCGATTAAATTACTAACACTAACTCAATGTTTTGACTAATTCAATTTTTAACACCTTGCTTTTTTTCAAAAAATAAAATATAAGAGTTTGTTTGAGCAAATTTAAGTTCTAAACTTTATTTATATAAAATGTTAATGTGATTTTCATAATCTCAATGTAAGTGGGAATGATTAAAATCAGTTTATAAGTGAAGGTTTGAATAAGAGCTTGTAAATATTTCAAATTCAATGTTTAACAAGAAAATAGAGCATAAACTATAATAGCTGAAAAATATAAAGATTTGAAATGAGAGAGAATGCAATATAACTTATCCTAATTTAGTTTTATCCATTTAAACTTATGTATAGTCTTCAAACAATCACTTGAGATTTTTTCACGAGCTTCCACAAGTTTGAACTAGGTACTTATAGGCTATTACAACCCCTTACTATATATTATATTGAGCTTTTCACTCAAAAAAACAACATCTTTATATTACAATGGGGAACCTTTCCTTCTCTTTTTACAATAAGAATGATTCACTCAAAAATTCTCCCGTAAAAGTGAAATGAGTATAATTTGACTCTAATACTCAAATGATAAAGATATTAAAGACATTGGCTCAAGAACATTGTTTTTCATATAACAACAATAGAAAGAACGTAAATATCATAACTCAATGATTTTCAAGCTTAATCTCCTGTTAAAACAAGTTTTGAGTGTTATAGTTATAGCTCATGAAGTGAAATAATTGTTGGAGATATAATATAACCATTGGGTTGAGTATGGAAAGAGTTTCTACGATAAGCATATTTTTTCTGAAAAGTTCATTTAATGTCTATCAGACCTTTAAAACACATGTTGATCAACTAAAATTTGCATGTTTTAGATGGGCATAAGCAAGCTCCTTTATGACACTCTAAAACTCACATATTTGAGTCAAGTCAAAGCACAAGTTTCTCTAAAACTCTAAAACTTGTACGGATACTTTTTAGAACTTGCGTGTTTGAGAAAGACAACATTTTGGAACATAAGATTTAGGATTTTTATCAAGAGTTTGGAAAACTTTGGTTTTAGATTGAAACTTACAAGGATGGGATGATTCAGACTCAAATTGCCATTAGGAATATAAAACTCATGTCTATTAGGCTTAAAACTCATGTGGATTAGAGTTAGAATAATTTTAAGGCTAAAACTCATGTGCAAACAAAATAGATCATGTGTGTATGAGAGATGTTACAGCATAAAATTGTTAAAGACTAACTCATTCAAGACATTACCACAGCTGCCTATCAGGACTGCACTGTCGGCGCCAACCGAGACTAGATAACCTACTTCTATTAAGACTGAACAGCTTGCGACAATAAAGACAAGAATATAGGTGATAATCCAAACTAAACGGTCAACTTCCATGGAGACCAGACCTTCGGTACATACTAGAAGGCCGACTTCTATGGGATTAGAGCATCAACGATAGCTCGACAGGCCCTCAATTTTCATCAGGCGAACTTTTTATTGGGATTGTAACCCGACGATGACTAGGATCAGATGTCCAACTTTCATCAGGATTAAATAGTCAACTTTCACCAGGATTACACCATAGGCGATGACTGGGGCCAGACGGTTGA